CGTTGGGTGCCATGTGTGCGGGCAGATGCTTGGCCATGCGATGAAGGGCGCACAGTGCGGGATAACTGAACTCAGTTCCCCTCAGGTGCTTGGCGGCTGTGAAATGAGCCTCAGTGTTGCTGCCCAATTGGGTGAGCAGTACCCATATTGCCTCTTTTGTGCGGAAAGAGGGTTTCTCGAAGATGGCATACAGGGGGGCTGGTATAGCCCCCGGCCTGTAGCAGCGCCGACGTTTGCGCCAAAGGCGCGAAAGGCCGATCTTCTGGGCGTGCGTGGCGCCAGGTGGTTTGATGATGCCACGACGTGGGCAGAACCACCGAGCGATGAAGCGGAAGTTAAGTGGTGGTTGTAATGTCTGAATAAGGGCTTGTTCACGCCCTCGAAGGACATCGCCGGCCACCGTGTCTGATACAGGGATCACGCACCAGTTCCAAAAGTTGCGGTGATGTGCCCAAAACCGAATGGAAAGTTCTGCTGACACAAGCTTGTCCTCGAGCACCTGTTTGTACTTGCGGTACCTGGTGTGCTCTCGGACCATCACGGATTTAAAGTTCGGCGTGCTTCTTCACAGGAGAGAAGCGAAGGTACAAAACTGACTCGGCGCAAAATTGTTGGAAGCTGGGGTAGCCTGGTAGGATACCCAGGGCACGGAACACACCTCTCAGCACATGGGTGTCAGGTCGGTGTGCTTCAAGTATGGCAATCCGTGCGCAGCACCATTGGGCCACGCTGCAGCTGGAAAACTCTAAATGCAAAAGATCGGGAGCTATGCCACCCATGAGACATCGAAAGGCTTTGGCGGCGGCTTGCGTCTGCCTCAGAACGCACTAAGGATTGGCGTCCTCTTAGTCTGTCAGTCGAGCTATTGTTTTCTCTTCTCGCTCTCTCTCCCTTCCTTCCGCTTTCTGGTCGTCTGTCAGCCGAGCTATCATCTTCTTTCCTCGCCTTCTCCCCCTTTTCCCTCCGACGACGACGATGACGATGACGACCATACTAAGGACAAGAAAACGCGTGACGTATCCTGCCCCTGTGGGGCCTGTTTGTGTTATTCTGCTGTACATGCGTTAAACTTCAATGACTGACATGTTAACATGCGAAACTAGACAGTGCTCGCTTTCAGGTGACACAGACAGACATGTTCAACCGCCTTGGAAGCAGGGGCCGTTGGCTCCTACATGGAGCGGTGACTCCTCACTGCATCATACAGACGAACGCGGCGCTGAGGTCGTCGTGGTCCTTGTCGTCGTCCCCCTGCAGAAAAGCTGTACAGTCCACCTTTCAGGTTCCAAAAACCTCTAGCTTAAAGACGCACCAGCAGCCTGAAAAGCTACGACATGAACACCGTTCCTCATGTCTGCATCTGTCACAAGAGAGAGAGGTTCACAACCGTACCACCTGCAGGACACTGCTTATTTTGGCAAAAACTGGACGGCTCTGATCCTGCAGGTTGCAAGCAAAAAACCTGCAACAAAGACTCACTGCTAGCCATGTTGCGAAAGGGAGTCTTTACTCCTGTGCACTATGAGACTCTCGGTCGCTCGAGGCTGCGTAGGCCACAAATATGCTGGGCATCACCCGATCCTGGAGTCCTGGACCACAAGTCCCGCACGATTCTGTTGCTATGGTAAGCTCTTCGGCCGGTACCTGAAGAGAGAGAGACGAGGTCACTTTTTGGTGCTTTGGTGAGCACGACGCGGTCGGGCCGCACAGGTCACATGGTTATTCCCAGCTCTCCCTGGAAACTGACACTGCCCATGCCGGGCTAGGTGTCTAGTGGCAACGCAGGCCAACACATGAGATGGTTGGTGAGTTCAACGTCGGCTTCCGCCACTGCAGGACACTAGGTCACTATCGACGGGAAGTCTAAGTAGACGAGCCCTAGGCAACCTGACAGTCGACATACCTGCAAGTACGGTTGGTGTCTGGAAAACAACGCATAGTGGGGTTCTCAGCTTAGCCCCATGCTATGACGAAGGCAGGTACGCCCGGATGGCCAATCCGGGTATCCCCCAGGATGACTAGCTTCGTTGGCATGGGTCGTCATCCTGGGCCCATGCCCCCTGCTGCTAACAAATTGAAAAGTCTCCACAAACCATTAGCTTAGAATCAGGGTGTACACGCACACAATGCCTGCAAAAACTACACGATTAGCCACTTACAACCAGGACTTCCGCGCTGTAGTAGTGGTGATGCTTCGCAAAGGCACAACTACTGCAACCCAAGTCAACAGCAAGAAGAAAAGCGTCGCCTGCACCTGCACGCAGCAGCCCAAGTGACACCTGCTTTTGCTCGTGCCATATCACTTCGGCTATATATAAGGAAAAAGCAGTCCGCCTCTACCGTGCCAGCAGCACAGGCACGCTCGGCTGCATCGTGCCCTGAGACTTGTCACACAGCGGAAGCGGCGGAAGCGACGGAAGCGGTCTTCGGCCTCCCTCTTGCAAAGCCTCACACAGGCTTTGCAGAGCGAGGAGCTGCTCAGAGCCACTCGCTCGACCTCGCTACTTACCACGGAATCTTGCGGGATCGAGAACCTAGATGAATCTAGAAGCTTCAGTGCCGGACTCAAGCAGTGAGCCATGTCCTGAAATTCGCCATGGAATCGTCCTGGGAGCCAGAAGTTTGGCCACGACTCAAACGTCCCATTCTCACGCTTGAAACTTGACAGCTTGTCTTTCCTGCCAGTCCAGGGCCCTCCCCCCCTTCCGGGCGCAGGGCCTTGAGCATTTGGCTCGTTGCATCTCGAGGATTGTTTCACCAATGAGTGATTTGGTGGCGGGTGCCTAACTTGGGGCTTCACCCCGGTCCTGCGAACGCACTCCCGTATCTTGCCTGTTATTCCGCAAACTCTTCCCTGCCGTGGCACCCCCGTGTGCATTCACACAACCCCGTTAAGACCGTCTTCATCCGAGGAACCAGAACTTGAGGATCGTCCATTCGCAGACACAGAATCAACGCTCTGGCTCCATTCTGGCCGCGCCAGGGTTGGTGGAATCGGAGCAACCAGGCCGGCCTCCAGAACACAACTTTTCGATTTTCATGCGGAAGCCCATGTCCATTTGTTCAGCAAAGTACTACCTGCCTGCAGCTGCTGGTCTTCTTCGTCGCTCTTCGGAGCCGGCCCCATGATGGCACACCAACACCATGACTGCCAAACCGCAAACCGTCAGTAGGGTCGAGATGAGCAACAAGCGCTACAACGAAGCTGCACTGATCTGCACTGCAAGCACAGCGAAAAAGATCAAAGACAAAGCTTTTGGTTGGTGCAAGACAGGACCACATTCTGAGGCATGCACGTGGCTTTGATCTGTGCCTTGGCGTGTATATAATGAGTTTGTCCCCAAGGCACTTCTACACTCACGGCCGTAACACTCGTTGTTTGAGCTTGGCGCCGCCAGCATTGAGGTCGCGCCGTCGCTAGGGGCAGTGAGCTTCAAGGTCTGCATGCCAAAGGCTCGCGATCTTGAAACATGAGGATTTGAGGTGCGGTCAAGCCAGGCCTTTTCTGGGCACCATCAGGACGCGAATCAGAGGGCACATTTCTTGAAGCACACAGAAGGCTGCTGTACTTGTCTGACTTGTCTGTCAGAAGTTGACACACAGATAGATATATTTGTTTACCTCCTGCTTTGCTGAGCAAATATTTTATATAGATATATACATACCTACCTACCTACCTACCTACCTACCTGCCTGCCTGCCTGCCTGCCTGCCTACATACATATATACATACATACATACATACATACATACATACATACATACATACATACAAGTAAGTACATATACATACATAAATTTGCATAAACGCAAATCTACATGTGTGCATATATATATATATATATATACGTGTGTGTGTGTGCAATTATGTTTATGTTTATGTGTGTAAATATATGTGTATATATATATATATGTATATATGTATGCGGTCCACCTCCCACTCCTCCGACGTTTTCCGACTCGCTCGCATCAGCCGGGAAGCAATCTGCGATTGTAGCCACACCAACAGTTCGAACCGTGTACCTCGGACGCAAGTAAAGGGTCAGCAAGCTGCATGTGTGGACCGCGTCGGAGGCTGATTCGCTCCAGGTGACTCGCAAGAGAACCCTCTATCAGATAAGCCTGGAAGGACTTCGGGGCCATCTACGACCTTGACCCGACAAACTGCCACACCCGTGCTCATGAAGCATGCCTTTAACAGTGCGATAGCGCAATCCCCAAGACAGGGTCGAACTTCGAGGCTACCTGCAGCAAACCGAGCAAATGTCTGCCACCAAGAACAAGGGAAGACAGGAAAACTGGAAAAATGCGTACGGATTCTTAGAAGAACTGCCCAGGACGCAATGCACGACATTTGCAAGAGAAGCTGCTGGGAATCCAGGATATCCATACCACCAAAGCGCGACTCGTGAGGGTCAGGCTGCATTGTCAGCACCTGTAGCATCCCAGGTTATGGACCGCATGACCCCGACAGAATAGATCTAGACCCGCAGCAACAAAAGAATCCTGCCTCGTTTTGCATCCCGAAAGTGTAAGGACTGGTTTGTAGAACCGCCTCCAGCTCGGCAATGCCTGCAGCATGGCATCAAAAGGCCGGGGGGTAAGCTCCCTTGCGCATCCCTTACTGCCAAAAAAAACAAACAGACAAGCTCCATTGAATGCCGGCATAGCCTAGCTTACGGCGGCGGAACCTTCACCAGTGCTGTATGCCTGGGACCTCCTACGTGTGCAAGGGCGCTAGAACCAAAGAGTTCGCAACCGACGGATGCAATCTGAGCCACCATCCGTCGGTATCTCAGCATGGCGCCAGCTTTCACTGTCGAAAGACAGCGCAGATGCAGCAGAACTTTCGGAGGGCTCTGGATCTGTGGGTACTTCCTTCCAACACGATGGAGCACTTGCTTGTCTTTGATCCCTGCAGGATGCAAGCACTTCTGGCCAGCACGGAACAACATCAGCTGCTCTTCGGCGATCCTCCAGATTCGCCTCCAACAGACCCTTTACCAGTTGCAGAAGCGTCTCCGGGTGTTGGTGCGACTGTTGCCAAAGCAGGTCACGGTCATAATCTCCCTGCGATATTCGCAAGGAAAGGAGCGCGACATTGCTCTCAAATCGATGAAAAGGTCGACTTGGCACAGCATTTCGTAAATCACACACCCGAGTGCCCAAGAGTCCGCCCTTTCGTCATAGACTTCACCACGAAAAACTTCAGGAGATAGATAATGTGGCGTTCCAATGAATGTTTCGGTTCCGGCAGTTGAAGCCTCCGATTCCAGGACCTACCGCGCAGTGAAAGACGATGTGGTCATGGTCAGGCTACTCATGTATGCAGCTGGCAGCAAATTCTGCCTCTGCCGGGCAAGCTTGCATGCACTACAGAACGAAATCGACTACGACGCGTCGGAACGCTCAGGGGACGCTGCCGAACGCTTCAGATGCCAGAAACCAACAGTGGCGATGCGTTGCAGCCATGAAGAAGTTCATCTACTGTATCTAACTGATCAAAACAGCCGGAAACACGAGAACACACCAGGCTCAAGGGTATGAATCCTGGGAAAAGCCCTCTGTGCCGCCGGCCTTGGCGACTCCAAAGTCCGCCAGCTTGGCTTGGGGCGTGTCAATCCTCGTCGAATGGCACAACCTTCGTCTTTTCGCATGGGGACTCTTCTCTGTCAACGCAGCTCGCGGCAATCGTGCATCCAGGGGTCATAATGTTAGCTGGTTTAACGTCGCGGTGAAAAACTTTGGGCCGAAGTCCGTGCCTGACTGCATAGGCTTCTCTTCTGCAGGACCGCTGCAGTGTCCAAACGTGTCCAAATCAGAGGCAAGTCGCAAGAAGGCCAAACCCTGCGCAACATCCAGGGTGTAGTTCAACATCTCCGGCTGAGGCAGTCGGCAGCCAGCCTGCACAGCTTTTGGATGACATGCGATCGGAACGAACACTGCATTTCAGCAGGCCTCTTTGCACTGTCGAAGCCGTCGGCAAAGATCACCCAGCGCCGCGAACCTGAACCGACTTCCCCAGGCAACTGTAGTGATTAGACGAAGGTTGGCTCGGAGCATGCATTGCTCTGACCCGGTGCATCTGCATGAGTGCCTGATACCATCCCTCAATGCTTCGAAATGGACTTCGGACCAAGCCAGGCCAGTGCCGGATCGTCTGAAACCCGCTTTTCCCAGCAGCAAACGACGTAACGAGGTATGAAATCGGCCAAGCATCTCCAGCAAGAGCTCCAGGGAGGGTACTGGTTCTTGCAACATGCGGAAATCGTAACACTGAAGGATGTATGGGCTCTCCTGCCAAAACTGAACTTGCATTGCCGTAAGTCATGACTTTTCTCATCCTCTGTTGCGCTCCTTGCTTAGTTTCGATAGAAGCTCTGCTTCAAGCACGGCTTTGCTCCAGCCGGCTTCCGACATTTTCAGGCGAACCCGCTTCCTTGGCTGCCCCCACACACTCCGGACTGTGCCTCAGGCGTACTTCGCAGCCAAGTCTCAGTGCCAGGTGGGACCCCCGTGGCGAGCGTGGCGAGGCCTTACTAAGCATGGCCTGGGCCTGCACGGCCCATTACCCTACTTCCTGAAGGAACAAAATTTGCCGGAATGCTGTCCGCACCAGAAACACCTCACCAAAAGCGCCCCGTCCGAGAACACGGATGGGATCTCCCACCGAAGCCAGGGAGAAAATCATTGTGTCAGCCATCGTCGCCATGCACAACAACGAGCACCACTAGTCTCAGGTCTGCCTCCATGCTGTGCAAGAGCCGAGTCTCGACACAAGCATGGGAACACGTTCCTGCGAACATCCGATAGATCTTGCAAATTTGCTCGTGTTGTTCAAACGTGGGGCAGCGCGGTTGGAACTCAGGTCATGCAAGCCGACTGTGCCCATCTGTAGCTGCCTCATGGAAAGAATGCTCCAGACGGCAGCTGAGCAGGTGACTTGTGCACAACATCGAAATGGTCGAGCACAGAAGGTTTCTGTATGAGGCATTCAGTATGTACAAGTGCTGACATGTTGTCAAAACATTGACTACAAAACTCCTGTTAACCAAGTTGTGAAGACCATACATTAATGCCCTAGGGTCTATGGTCCTCACCAGAATCTGGGCGGAAAGGCTGCCCTGCCAAAACTGGTGTCTCCAGCTATCGCTTAACCTTCATCTTCGTCTCCTGGGATGATCGCAAACACAAAGGCAACACGCCAATGCAAGATTGGTCCTACTGCAGTCTTTCATTCATATCATCCGACAGGGCACCCAGAAACAGCGCCATCAGGCGACCAGGGGCACTTGGGGAGCGGCGCAACGAAGCAAGGGAAGCAGGCGGTGTCTCCTGGAAGTGCAGCAACAAATACTCACTTGTCCCCTGTCGGGTTTCTGCACGGCCTCCTCGTCAAAGTCATCATCCTCGATGTCAATGTGCAGGAAGGTGTTCTTGACTTTGAGCCTGGCAGTTCTAGATGCCAAGGCACATGCACGCAACCGCATCTGTACTTTATGCACATCGTCCTGTCTGGATGGTTTATGTTGGTGCATTTGCACCGGGAAGGCACCGCATGCTTGATTCGAAGATGTGCATCAACTTGCCTCGCATGCTGTCTTGCAGAAAACCTGCTCTGCTCTGCAGGGCGAAATCCCGCGGAGTTCTGCCCCTAGCTTGTTTTTGAATCATCAACAAAAAGTCGCGGCGATGTCTCTATGACTGCTGCAATACAAACACGCACTTCATTGCGCAACCTTTAGCGCAAGCTTGCGCCTCTCGCATCGTATTTTCTCCGTGTTGTGTCAACAAGCTCGTGAGGCCACCGTTGTTGACGACAAGCTGGAGAAAAAACAAAGAAGTGCAGCTTAGGAACTCGTCTGAAAACTGGTTCATCGCTGCAACAGAATCAAGCAGGAGAGGGTCATCCGGCAGAACTGGCGACGCCACCACGTGGCCTAAGTCAAACCATGCAGCACAGCTTCATGCCGTGCATGCACCGTGCGGCCATGCGATACCGCAGCATCTGCTCACAACCCTGGTGACAAGAATGAAAAGTCAAGTCACTTTGGATCGGACTTTCAATGCAAGCAATGCTATTGTTGCTTGAGGTCCCATTCCACTCCGTCCAATCTGTGCTCTGCTGGCTTGTCGTATCCCACGCATATTCGTCTTGCACAAGGGGGTACTCCACGAAGGAGTATCCTGGATACCAAGGATACATCACTCCATCCATGCCATCAGCCATGAAGTACCACCCTTCGCATGCATCACATCCCTCATCCGTGTACCAGGCCACAGGCTTCTCCTCAGACTGGATTTTGATCTTTTGCTCCTTGTTCTTGATGGAAGGATGTGGGCGCAACTCATGCTCTCCATGCGCGAACTTGCAATACTGCCCATCCCGGCACCACTGTGCCTGCAAATAGTCCGCGCACAAACGTGTTTTTGAAAAGTCTGGCTGATCACGAATCTGGTCAATGCTGTGGGCGAAGTTGCAAGAATTTCCACGAACACAGTTTCCAGCAACGTGAAACTTGCAAAGCCTTGTTTGTTTGAAGGCTTCAAGGCGCATGGATCCTGAGGACAGTTTCTCCTTGATTGCCCGGGATTCCTTACGCACCATCTTCACTACAGCTCCCCTCCCCCCTGTTCGTTAAAAATGAGCTGCAGCAAGCACGACTCCCATCATGTCATAGCCGTCAAGGCTCTGCCTACGGAAAATCTGAAAACACTTTAACAGAAAGCGACTGAGAAGATGCAACATTTGGGCAATGAAAACTCTCGAACAAAACAGCTGGATCGCCGACCTGCCATGAATACATAGCTAGCTATAGCGGCACCATTACCACCACTTGTTGCGCCCGCAAACGGGAGTCCGACGGTCCAAGGGTGTTGATCCACCTCCTCACAGGCTACGTGACGGATTTGCCCCGCGGCAACAGGTCGGGAAATCGGAAGCCGGCTGGTAGGCAGGGGCGTGCGTCATCAAGTCTCGTCTCGCTGGGCCACGGCCGGAAGCTTCGACACCGACGACCACCACGCGGCTCGGTGCGGCCCGGTTTGCCATCGGGCGTCCCGCGAGGACCTCGTGCAAAGCCGGCACCGGCCAGGCAGCGCAATGCTCGGTCTGCACGGGGAATTCGAGGAACGTGGTTGCAAGCGCAAGCGCTCGTTGCGCAGCAAAAGCGATAAGCCATGCGGCCTGCGCTGGCACGCGCCAGAAGGCGAAGGAAGGAGGCAGCTTCGGCATCCCAACGGCCACCAACCTCC